CTTCCAGGTGTGCAACCAGCCTTGCCCTCCTTTTGAGTAACTCCACGGCCCGCATGCACCCTGGGAACATCAACTCCCTGTCCCCTAGCCTCCTGCCAACCCTGCACCAGTAGCTGTTGTCCTTGGGCTGGTTTTTGCCCTTGGAGAGCTTCCTAGTCTGGTCGGTGGGGGTGTTTGGGAAGCAGCTTTGAGCAGTCTGTGTGTTTCATTTTACAAGATAAGTGTGTGATTGCAACATTTCCCATCAAGTGGCCGGCTGGCCAGCCGTACCCTTGAGACTTTCCCAGCCCCATGGATGGCACCTCACCTGGAAGTCTGCTCACCCCGAGATGAGACCACCGTGCGGCCTCGTCCTTTCTCCCCAGTCTTGGGCTCCTGGGAGTCTGTGTGATGGCTCACTGAGGCCACGCCGGCAGCCGTGTCTAGGCTTGGCCTAATTCTCCACATACAGTAGGTGTGCCCCACATGTGCTGGTCCACAGGCACAAAGGAAACTCCCTCCTTGGAAATGCAAGCTGCACATCTGGAGGCGGAGGGTGATCGAAATGCATCCTGCTGGCAGCAGCCCACCCAGTGGGTATTGTTCCCATCAGACTTGCTGTGGTTGTGGGCAGTGCCCTTGGGGAGCGAGACTCGCTGTGGGCAGTTTCTCTTAACTACATATCCGTCCCTTCCCCACGAAGAGTAGGCAAAAGGGTCTTAGTATTGTTACAAAGTAGCAAAATGTAATCAACGGTACCCAGGACATCACTCAGTCTTTTCGTTTCTCTGCGTGTTTGGTTCTTCTGTCTGTGTGCCCAGCCCACGGCTACTGAGGCGATTGTGACTCATAGTGACCCAGCAGGACAGAGTAGAACTGCCCCAGAGGCGTTCTTAAGACTTAACTCTTTACAGGAGCCAAGAGCCTCACCTCTCTCCTGCGGAGTGTCTGGTGGGCCTGAACCACCAACCTTGCAGTGAGCAGCCCAGTGCTTAAGCAGTCGTCTGCATCTCTGTGTGTCGTGTAATCTGAACAGTGTCTAGATACTTGCGTATTTCTTCTTCTTTCCATTTAAAGTTCTTCACTTAGTTTATCTTACGTGCTTCCATGAGTGCAGCTCCTTCTGTATTTTAATCATTCAATATGCTCTCATCTGTTGTGCTGGAGCTTAGGAGGGGAAGTAGGAAGTGGTGCTAAAAATCGGAGACCTCTTCATGAACAAGAACATCGATAGGGCAATACACTCCTGAAACTGGAGTTTCCGTCTCTCTAGCCCTT